CTCTCCATCTCTGCCTCTCTCTCTTTGCCTCTCTCTGTTCATTTGCCCTGTCGACACTAAATAAGCCTTCATATTTCATGGCCAGTTTCTTTTTAGTTTTTGTGACCGAAATTCTATGCTCAGCCAAGTTCTCAACAGTTGCTGCAGCTGCTGCTTGCTGCTGCTGCTGCTGCTGCTGCTGCTGCTCCTGCTGCTGTTGCAGTTATGCAAGGCACATTCCTGGCTGGCACACGAGCTAGCCGCGGGTTCATATGTCAGAGGCCATAAATAAGTTGAGGCGTTTGCTTGCTTCCGCAACAACAGAAATAACATAAAACTTGTCGTTTGGTCAAATGGTCAAGACATCAACGGCAGCAACTGTTGCCACTGGGACTGCTGCTGCAATTCAAGGCGCGAAACAATTAAACATAGTTTTCATTGCACAAAAGCCGCCGACAGCGCGCAAATTAATTTAATGACAAAAATATATATGTATATACATATATAAAGCTGAGCAGCTACAGGCAGCACTCAAAGAAAGCGCCCCAAACAAATCCAATTTCACCGCCAGCGTTTGTGGATTTTTTTATCGCTATCTGCAGGCAGCTATCGTCAGCTCTTTCACCACCAGCAGCAGCAGCAGCAGCCGCAGCAGCAGCAACACCCAAGGCTACACACCAACACTTGAAGACTTGTAGCACACACCCAGAGTCAACAGTTTTGGCCATAACTGGAGCTAAAGTCAACGACTAATGCAGCCGATCAACAATTTAGATATAATATCGCATATCGCATCATAATGTTGTTGTCGTTGTCGACGTTGTTGTCGTCGCTGTTGTCGTTGTCGTTGTTGCCGTTGCCGTTGCCGTTGCTGTTGCTGTTGCTGTTGCAGCAACAAAATGGCGATGGCGGCATCTTTTTTCGCACCTTGTTTGAATGCGCGCCTAATGGACGACAGCGACATTTGTTAGGTGACAGAGCTGCATTCAGAGTCGCAATTCGCGTTTCGCATTTGGTTTTCGATTCAGTTTTGGCATTGGCTTTGCCAGCCGAAGCTCGCGCTGACTTGGTTTAGTTGCGCCTGGCTAGTTAACTACATAAATACATTGATTTAATTAGCCCGAGTAAACAAAACAAGTTCAACGAAGCTTCAATACGCTAACGGGCTATAAATCTATTGAGAAATACTGCAGATATACATAAAAGAGTCAATATCAGATAACAGCTATTACAGTAACTATACGAGGGGTTGATTATAGATGTGTTTAATATATGAGATGTTTTATGTGGGATGGTAATCGTCTGTATAGGATTGTTATTTCATCAGAGTAGAGTATGCCCTGCCCGGCAAAGCAGAGTATTTATTTATAATATATTATATTATCATTATATGTATATATATGCATGGATAATATTATTATATAATTGAGTATGTATACATACATACATATATCTTTGCATTATTATTATCTATAGTTAGATTCTCATCAACTTTATTCTTATACTTATAGTAGAGGACTCTCAGCTAATGTTTATCTCTCTTTATCTGCAGATGTATCTCAGGCTTTAACAAGACTTACAACACATCTTATGTCTACTCTCTTTCCATGAGGCAAATTAAAAGAACTGATTATACTTAAAGAAAAAAATGTTTACTGTGGTAAATCAACTGAATGGATTTTATATATAAGACTAGGAGTTTCAAAGAAAACATTCCTATCTAATAGATCATAGTTAGATAAAATGTTATGTAACAATATTATTAAAATTTTCTATAAAGTATAACATAATTTATAACAGCAAACATGTAAGATCGAAGCTCTTAGCCAAATTGATTTATTTACAAACCGTTATATACATAAACAAGTTTCTAGCCAGAACTAAAGTTAATCAAAGCACAGTAACAAGATACAAAATGTATCGCAGCTAAGCAGAGTAGTCAGAGTCATAAGAAAGCCTTAGCATTGTATGTATATTTACCTGACAGATAATAGATAGATAGACCATAGAATATATAACAGTTATGCTTGTACACACTATTCTACAATAATCAATCAGCAATATCTAAATCGAGTTGTTCGTCAACTCAAAATGATTCACTTGAATTAAAGAATTCTTGACAAACTTCGCTGAAATCCATCAAAGTTGAACTCAAAGTTCAAGCGCCTCTTTAGCACCTCATTTGATTTATGAGGAGACCGCGAAACAAACTAAACTAACTGATGCGAGCTTTAGATAGTTACAGCTTTCTAGTGAAATGGGTTCGACTTCCCACGGCAACTATTGTTGATCTGTGACAACAAATCCGAAGCTCTTTCAGCTCGTTGGGTGTCAACAACATTTGAATTTGAGAGCGCGTGTTCGTAGTGCTGAATTTTAGTTTAATTCAAACGGCGATCGGCGATCGGCGGCGATTGACGATTGGCGATATGACAGACATATTCCACGATGACAGAGAGCGATTGACAGAGAGTGAGAGAGAGAGAGAGAGAGAGGGGGAGAGAGGGGAGACAGCCTTGTGTCAGACGCTTATCGCTGAACTACTTTTGAATGAAAACTAATGAAATGAGCTGCCAGCCATCAATGAAGCAATCAATGGGGCAACTGCCAGACAGACAGACAGTTAGGGGGCTTATTGCAAAAATAAAAATAAAAAATCATTTAAAAAATAAAATAAAATATATATGTAGAAATAAATCGATTGAAAATCGCACAAGAAGCGTATTTAATTTCTTTAACCTTGGTTTCACTTTTCTCATTAACTTTTCGCCGGCAATTAAAATTCAATTTTTGCCAAGTTAATTTTGCGCGTTGATAAATTGAGCCAAAAGGTGGAGGAGCGTGTGAAAAATGTACGAACAACTGTTAAAGCCAAGGCAGCAACAACAGCAGCAACAGCAACAACAATAATAAATAAACAAGGTGGAGATACGTTAACAAGGCGCTGGCAAATTTTTAAATGCCAATTTCCGCAAATTATTAAATGAAATGCGAAGATGATGAAGTTGAAGCTGAAGTTGAGACTGAGACTGAAGCTGAGGCAGGAGACGGAGCAGGAGCAGGCGTTTATCTATGAGAGTATCTGCGTAGCTGCGTATCGTGTGTTGGCAATTTGACATACTTTTGTTGCCGTTTGTGGCATGCAGCACACATGCAACAATCATAGTAATCATAATACCAAAAAATACAAATAAAAAACTTAATAGTAGCTGCGAAAGTATGACGAATATGTAAACGTATAGCTGCGGAGTCGGAGTCGGAGTCAGCAGTTGGAGTCTCCATTTGGAATCTGCAGTTTGGGAGTCTTGCTTTATGACTGCGCTAACTAATCCCACAACAAATTATTGTGATTAATCAGCGAAATTGCATTAGCAACTGTTGCTGCTGCTGCTGTTGCTGCTGCTGCTACGAGTCGTTGGGCGTTGCAGCAACTGTCACTGGCGCTGATTAAGCGCCGAGCGGAGCCAAAGCCAAAGCCAACTCAAGATTAGCCGAGCAGAGATAAAGCCCAAATGGGAAGATCTGTTGTGGGTGCGTGCGTGCTCAATTATGCAGCACAGCAGCAGCTGAGCCTGGGTTAAAGGTAGACAATGATCATGATCATGATCATGATCATGATCGTGGCAAAGGCATGGCATGGCATGCCATGGCATGCCGAGTCAAGTCAAGTCAAGTCATTCATCTGAGCCCTTGCAACTGCACTGCGCATATCCATTAACAAGTCAATTAAAAGAGAAGAAGAAGAAGAAGAAGTGGCCAGGAAATGCAATTGGCAATGAGGATGACAGCGATGATTGCAACTGCAACAGTTGCTGCCACAGCTACTGCAACAGTTGCGCATCTTGGCAGGCTTATCTAACGGCTCCATTTGGCTGACCGACTCCGAGTCCAACTCGGCCTAAGCGGATGCGCGTAATAAATTAATAAAGCCAGCTTTTAAGCCAATGCATATTCAATTAACAATGTCGCGCCACTATCTGACAGTTGCATTTGGCATTTCGAGTGTGGCTGTTCAAATGTGAGCTTCAGCGCATTTCCTGTCCACAAACTTCAGCAGCTGCCCCTCTCACTCTGTCTCACTCGCTCTCTCTCTCTCTCACTCAGTTGCTTGATTAAACTTTGTTATTATCGTCACATACATCGAAACTCAAAGCGTGGCACGTTTCGAGCATATCAATTGACAGACAACATGCAACATTTTCTTTTTTTTTCGTTTTTTTTTTTTTTTTTTTTTTTTTTGGGTTTCTTAGAAAAAATATATCAACAAATTTAGTTAGAATTGATTTGACTTCTTTTTTTTTGTGTGTGACAAAACAGTTAAATTGTCTGAAGAAGCGGGCGTAATTAAATAGAAAAATAGTTTCGCTTCAACAAAACAAAAATTCTTAAAATTTTTCTAATGCATTTGCGCATTTTTTTGGATCCACCAAATTTGTTCGGCGCCAACAAATTTTGGGAAATATTTAGAAAATAGGCAACTTATTGAATGGATATCGAATACTGATTATGAATGCGTTAATTATTATTTTTTTTTTTTCTCTGTGATGTTTAGAAACTGGAGCAATGTAAAAAATACTTTAAGTTCTTCTTATAAATATATCAATTATATAATATATAAATATATTTGCTCCAAATCATGTATCTTTAGTATTGACGAAATGCATTGATAGTCTAACAGAGTTATAAAAGACGACATTGAAACCTATATACTCCTATTAATATCATAGAGGTGTATTCTAAGCGCTGCTAAAAATACAGCTAAATTCCAAAAAATAATAGATTTATATAGGGAACAGGGCATCAATTGGGAACTTTTCGGTGATCTTGCCTTAAATCTGCTAAAAGCATATAGAAAACCGATTTAATTTAAATACCTAGACTGACAATAAGATGAACTTTTAGTAGTTACTGTTGAGGCGATTGCAGCTGGTTAAGTCATAGGAATCGAATATTCCATAGCCTAAAATGCTGTACCCATGCCTATTCCCATTCAGTATGCAATGCAAAATCTGTCGACTCACCTCATTGATCTCATCCTCCAAGGCGCGTTGTCGCGTCAGCTGGCGCAGTCGCTCGCGTCGCTGCTCCGTCAGCTGCTCCAGACGCTGGGCGGCGCGATCCACCTCGCTGTAGAGCAGCGTCACCTTGCGCAGCTTATGAGCTGCATCCAAGTGGTAAGCAGTTGTTGCATCTGGAGCGGGCGTGGGCGTAGCTGTGGGTGTGGCAGTTGCAGTTGCTGGCGCTGCATTGATGGCACTGGCTGCCGCCTGCAGGCGCAACAGCTGGTTGGCGCCATTCTTGCGGAGATTATGCAGCTGGGAGTCCATGAGGGCACGGCTAAGGGCACGATGCTGGCCATAGAGCTGACGGCGTGTTGGCAAGCCCAATAGATCGGCGGCGCGTATGTCGCTCAGAGCGCCAACGAGACGACCCCCAGCAGTGGAGCACTGCCGCTGGAACGCCTCCAGCTGGGCAAAGAACTCGCGCCACTTGCGCGCGTCGTGATGATGCTGGCCCCGGAGCGCTCCGCTCGGCAACTGCGATGGCGCAACACTTGTCGTGACTTGGTCCACGCTAATGAATTTAACCAAATGCAACTGCAACTGCAATTGTTGTTGCTGCTGCTGCTGCTGCTGCTGCTGGTCCTGCATGTGGTGGGAGGTCAAGAAAATGAAAAAAGAAACCAAATTTAAAGCCATCATTAGTTGGCCAGAATCTGTCCATGTAAAGCGCTTTAATTGGGCGTCTGTGCGGACTTTTGGTGGGGCGTTAACTTGAACCGCGGGAGTTGGTTGGCCCTCGCCTAATGATTTCATTTTGTGCTGCAATCGCAAAGGTCAAAGCCTGAAACTTACCTTTTGATCGCAGCTATTGCTGCTGTGCTGCTGCTGCAACTGTTGCTGCTGCTGCTGGTTGCACAATTGCAGCAAATTCGCATCGAGGCAAACGGCCAAAATTTCACAATTGCCAATTTGCTTGCTTAACAATTTGAGGCTTTGGCAAATTAAGTCGATTACGCATAAATGTTGCGACTTCTCGATGGCAATTAAAATGGTAAATGTGCGCGAAGCTGGCTGCAACTGTTGCTGCTGCTGCTGTTGTTGCTGTTGCTGTTGCTGTTGCTGCTGTGTACTTTTATGGCCAATGCTGCAAATACATAAGTTAAAAGGCAATGAGTTTTTTCCTTCTTCTGTTTCTGTGTTTTTTTCTCTTTTTTTGTTAGTGAGAAGTGCATGGCCAGAGCAGGCGCCCATAAACAACGCGTGGCTGTACATCTGTCCGTCTGTCTCTCTGTCTATTTGGTGTAAATTGCGGCTGTGGCAGGCTGCAACTACAACTGCAGAACCAACTGGCAACGCCCAAAACAAGTTCAGCATAATTGGCAATAAGCGGCCTCTGCCACTTGGCCAACAGGCACTGCCCACAACTAGATGCCTGATGCTGCTCTGCCTCCCTTTGAGTGTATCAAGAGAACTGCTGCGGTTGCTGCGGCTGCTCGACTGTAAATATGACAAGTTGGTAGCCACTTTTAATCAGCGTAAATAAAAATTGAAAATTGCTGCTAATGGCAGGTGGCCTATTAATAAAATGCCCAACAGGCACTTCTTAACACTTTAGCCAAAGTTTTATCCAGCTGTGCCTGCTGCCCGCTGTCCCGCTGTCCCGCTGTCCCGCTGCCCGCTTGCCAATCTCTGCTGCAGTTCTAACTGTAAATGCATGCCATCTGTGTGTTGGCCTCTTAGCCAGTTAGGCAGTCAGTCAGCCAGTTCTCGGTGTTCTCACAGCGCACAGTCCACCCCCGTCTGTGTGGAGGCCACGGCGTAGTTTTCAGTTGATATTTGCACGCAATGCGGCAAGTGGCAATGCAGCAAACGCGGCAAAGCTGCGGGTTGCAGCTCTCAACTCACAAGTCTCACCAGCTTCATCATCAGCGCTGGCATGTCTCGAGTTTAATGATGCCGCACACAGCACACATCACACAGAGGCCATCAAAAGCGTTTGGCATTTCAATTTGAAAGCAACCTACACATGAACTAAGCTGCGAGCAAGATCCATTTGTTGATTGCAGAACGAATTTGATATGCTCTTTATTGTTGATATGAAAATGCTGCTGTTAGTTAAGCATTTCATCTGTTAGGGCAACAGAGAATTGAGCTTAACTTAATTTAACATAAATAATCTTCAAACATAATTATTTATCATTCAATTCCCTGCAATTTAAGTATACGTTTGCTTAACATATGCTGTAATCCTACTCTAACAGCTGTCTGTTAAGCAAATGCTTCTATTTATGTTTAACATTTCACTTTCATGTTAACAGTGCTTGCTTTATATTTCACTGTTAAGCAACTGAGTTCAATTTGTTTATTCTGCTAATACTGTCCGTAGGCAGCTATGTTAAATATACACATGAGAGCAGCTATTAACAGAGCTGTTGGTATTGGGATATCAAGTGCTGTTGCTACTCCTTTATACTTCTACATATGCATATAAAAAATACAAATTTAAAATGCAAATATACTTTGAGCTGCCTAGAGCTACTATATAAAATTATGACTTAAAATTAAATTAAATTTTCAAATAAAAATATAAGCTATGTATATTAGCACCGTAGAAGCTATAAGTTCTGCTTAGCAAAACAAACGAAAGCTATTATAAGAGCTGTAAATATTTTAAGGGGTAATATAAGACAAACTGCCTACGGGCTTAATCTTTGCATAAACATCAAATGTTAATATAGGAGCAATCTGTAAATAAATGAAATACAAGCTGAGCTGGGCTGACTGTAATAACAAGAAGCTGAGCTGGACTGACTAAAGCGACTGCTATTTTATGAACCGTGACTATTAAAAGAGGAAATATAAGCTGCCTCAAGGGCTACACAGTTTAACATAAGTAGAAAATGTAAGTGCGAAGAGGCAAAACTAATTAAAAGGGAAATATAAGTTAAGCAGTCTATCAAACGCATTCAATTATGTACAACATAACAGAAAAGCTTTAGCTCTTAAATGTAAATTAAGGCCCATGTTATGGCCGGAGGGCAGACATATGTTATGTATATTTCATTAGACTCCAAGCGAAGTGAGTGTAATAAATTTATGAGTGCAGTCCTAGGCCAGGTCGTTCGTGTGTAACCCGAGCTTTCTTTATATTTATATTTGTATTATGCACAGACATGCATATTAATACCTATGCCACTCGTTGCAGGCGGCATTTAAAGATTCCCAGAAGTGCAGACCCCATAAAAACTAATTTAATTGCAAGCTGTCACACACACACACACACAGAGATAAAGAGAGAGAGAGAGAGAGAGAGAGACAATTGTTGTGTGAGAGAAGGGTCAAATGGAGGAGCTCTTGTTGATGATGTAAGTTTTTGGATAAGCGACAAGTTGTCAAAGACAACAAGCAAAGTTTGCTGTTGACACTGCGCCCAGTTCCAAGCCACAGCGTGAGTCGCAGACTCTCCTGGTGAAAACTTGACTCAGCTCAAATATTTAATATTTGCGTGCAGCATAGACTGGCATTTGGATTTGGACAGCCAGCTAATGAATACCTTACACATGTCCGCAAACAAACAGCAAATAATGTCAATGGCTGCACTTGAAGAGCGTTCGAGTGAGAGAGAGAGACAGATAGAGAGAGAGAGAGGGGAGATAGTATACAACATAGTGTGACTGAGGTCTGTCCAAACTTCAAGTTTTTAGTGTCATACGCATGTCTGATGACATGTTGTGCCAGTTATCTAGCGAGAGAGAGGGAGAGAGAAAGACAGAGAGATAGAGAGAGGAGGAAGGTGTCTCCTTGCTTGAGCATAACAAAATCTGAGCAAATGTTTGTCAAAGTTTTCTACACGATTTGGCCGCATTTTAGCAATTGGCATTGCAGCAATTAACATGCAGCTGGAACTCAAGTCGAAACGGGATTCTGCATCCGAATCAGAATCAGAATCAGCAATAGCTGACTGCCAGCTCTCGTAAGTGGCCAACGGGTCCTCTCTCTCTCTCCCTCTCTCTCCCTCTCAGTTACGTATGCCGATTTAGATTTCGCAGATTGTTCTGTGATATTTCCAGGAATCGTGGTAGAGCAGTCGACACACACACACACACACACACACTTACACTTACACACACACACACAGCGAGCATTCAACGCTGGGCCACAAAAGTTCACATCATAAATTCAAAGTGTCACGAATCTGTCTGAAAGATCATTCATATGCCTGCAGCAGCAGCAGCAGCGGCAGCGGCAGCAGCTTCCCCTCTCTCCTTCTCTCGCTCCCCTTCACACTTGCTCCGGCTGGCGTTGTCTCCCTCTTGCGTTCGCTACAAAGGGAAGCCGCAACCGCAGAGTCCCTCAAGCAATGTGTCTGCCAATGCCTCAGCAGCGCCCGCAAATCTTGCCTGCCTGCCTAGCGAGCGAAAAACGAGAATTCTAAGCTACACTAGACAACAAAGTTGCCAGCTTAAGTCTTAGATTCTCGTCTACTAAGTAGGCCACAAGCAATCTACGAGCTTAGACTATTAGGCATCGAAGATGGAATTACAATTTAGGTCAATCAATAAAAGCGTATCTCCAGCAAGTAGCAAAAGTATCTTTGAATATAAGAGCATGCTTATTCGCTCAAATAATCTTCTATCTAACAGAATATAAACATGCTTAAAACAGATTAATGTGTGCTTAACTTCTGTTAGAGATAAGAATATTCATATCATATATGCAGATATATTTGAGTAAACTCAAGAGAAAGATAGCACTATCTACGATTCTTTTATTTTATCGTTTTATCCAATTTATCTTTTATACCTCATATATTTCTAAATATAATAATGGAATATAACATATAAATTTTATTCTATATATTTTTCATTTTATTTATATTTATTTTTAATTATTTATATTATATTTATTTATTTTTTAATTGTATTTTGAATTGTTATGTTTTTAACAGTATATTAAAATGAATGAATCATTTCAACTTCTTTATTAGGATATTATATCATACCAATTTTTCATAACTGTTTTTGGCTATCAACATTTTATTTTAGGTTTCTAATGATGAAGATTTACAAAAGTTTATCTATCTGAGATTAGCTCATAGATCCAGTTCTCAGTTCACTCCAACGTAAGTCCCATAAAAATGAAGTTATTAAAGAGCAGCTTGCTCTATAGTGTTATTGACTTTTAGCTAAAGCTTTTGTTCTATTTTCTGTGGTAAAGTTCTCAGCATTCAATGCAAGTGCTGTTCGATGTTTTGTTGTTGTTGTTGTTGTTGTAGTTGCTGTTGTTGCATGTTTCCTTTTAGCCAAAGTGGCAAATTGACTGGCATGCATATTCTTAAGCGGCAATGAGTTCGACTGCCTGATTGCCAGACAGCCAGACGACTGAGCAAGCGCAGCAGAAAGAGACAGAGACAGCAAGAGAGAGAGAGAGAGGGGCAGTGCTGCTTTCCCTCTTGCACCACCGTTAGAACATCTTAAAGGCTTAAGTGCAGCGGCGTCGCGTTCTTCGCGTCTTCGGCTGTTCCCAGCGCACGTTGGTGGCTCTTGGCCAGGCTTTAACTGCACATTTGCATATCAGCTCGTAAATATGGATGGGCTGCTTGTGAGTCTATGAACTTAGCTCTTTCTACATGTTTTTCTTTTCCTTTCTGTTTTGCTGTTGTTGTTGTATTGCAACACAAATTGAAATGCCTGGACTGTGAGCCTGTGCCCATTCCCATGCGTTTTACATTTGACATTAAACTGCCCGATTCTGATTGAGGCAATGGCCCCTGCCCCGGCCCCGGCCCCTGTCCCTCACCCTGCACCCGCCCACCACTTGGACTCACCTGCGCTCCGGTATGGTGCTATAGTAAAGCAACAGCGTGGCCAGCTCGTAGCAATTGAGACCAGCGCCGGCCACCGCGTCCGCCTCCACATGGACAAGTGGGTCGCCTTGGAGGGTGCGTGTGCCTGCGAATAGATGCAAATCGAATTGAGTCTCGAAATGAATTTCAATTGCTTTCAAACAGCGCCTTGGGTGGTCGAAGCGCCGACGGAGCGCGCGTTAATGTGCGAAAAAGTGTGTGAATTAATTGAATTGAATGGCTGGCAAATCACTGCGAATTGGAATTCCGATTGGGGCGCCAATTGGAGCGCTTTTCACCCAGGCCAGGCAGGCCTTGCGGGCCTTGCAGGCCTTGCAGGCTAACTGCCTAACGGGGCGTTGTGAATTTTCCAATTTATATTTATAAGTTTTTCGGCTCATGGACTAGCGAAAGTCTAGAATTATATGCGGAGCAACAAAATGGAAAGTCGGGATATATGTTTACCTGGCAAATAGACGCCGCTGTTCAACAGTTTCTCGGGCAATTCGCTGATCGAGTTGGGCGGCAACAGTTCCGTTTCCCGCTCCGTCTCCCTCTCCCTCTCCATCTCCCTCTCCATCTCCCTCTCCGTCTTCGGCTCTGCCAGCTGCGTCGTCTCGCTGTTAAGCGCTAGAAATTGACAAGTTTTCATACATAAATATTACATTTATCTTTTATATATATATTTTTTTTATATATCTTTACATATATATCTTTTGTTATATAGGTTAATTGCATTTTAAACGCTCGACGAAAACCTTGAAAACTCGTTCAGGATCTGCTGGCAACACTCTTTACTTTTTTGCATAATATTGCCATTTGATTAATTTGGCCACACACTTCAGGTCCCCTCGCTTTCGGGCTGGGGGCGTGGCCAGACCAGTTGGCCTCCCATTAATTTCGAGCTGGGCACTTTCGCGTGCGACAATTTTGCGCTTGTAACAAATGCGACACATTGCAGCGTCTGCACAAATTCTGTGTGCACTACCTGCGGCCGCACCACCTGTTCGCTGCATACAAATGCTGCCCAGGTGCTCGGCATGGTGGCATTGCATGCATAAGTATGTAACTCAATACCCTGGCCACAATTGCCCCCGCACTTGTCAGCTGATTTATGCACGCTTGCAAATTGCACCCACACGCCCGAAATCCGACTGCGAGTCGATCGCATTCCGGCGCACAGTGGTGCCGGATAGGCATCTCTGTGCACCGTTTAAGCAAGGCGTAGCCCTAACGCAATCAGCGAGGGCGTGTGCTTGCCAATCGCAGCTACTCGTTGACCTGATTGGCGAAGTTTTTATGACGCGAACTGAGTTTGAATTCGTAATGGAAAAGGGCTCAGCTATCCGGGTACGAATCAGAGGCAGGTACAGTCGATGCCATAATATCAATGTCACCAACAATATGACGAATTGACAGTATATATATGTGGCTACTGATTCGAAGTACTCCCCATTGTATTGGCATGACGCCAGAGCAGTCGAAATCTATCATAGATATATGTAGGTAGCATTGGGATCCGGGTTCTAGCTCCAAGCAATAACTCTATCAATTCAATAAGATTCATTTACTAGAAACAGAAGTACTCCTCTAGTACTAAATATAGGTAGCATTGGGATCCGGGTTCTAGCTCCAAGCAAGCACTCTCTCAGCCCAATAAGAATAATTTAGTAGAACTAGACAGCGTTGGCATATAGGATAATTCTATTTGGAAGCGTAGATCTACATAGTAGGAATATTTTGCCTATATTTTTGATTAACTTTATTTATTGATTTTATTTTATTTTATTTTTTTTTAATTTACATTTGCACCACATCGTGCACCACTGTGCGCTGCACTGCTTTGGTTTCTCATTTAATTTTCATATTTTAGGCTTTGACAAATTAAAAGGCATTTGCACCGTTGTTGCTGCTGTTGCAGCTGCTGTTGTTGTTGCTGTTGTTGTTGTTGCTGCTGTCGTGGAAACAACGATATTTTGTGGTTAACCAACGCCTGGCGGATGCTGTGGGCCGCCGTTGTTAATGGCTAATGGCTTTTTGTGTGGCTTTTGTGGCCGAGCCGTGGGCGTTGGCAACGCATTCTATACTCCCGGGGCACACAGTCGAGCAATTGCAACGGCTTGCAAGTGGACAAGATATCGAAAGCAAAAGCTGTGATCTATCGATCTATCCATAGATATATGTATATCTTATCAAGTCAAATTGCGAAAGCTTCTGTTGTTCAATAGTTTCTGAGACATTTCCTCAGCTTCCAGTGGGTTATGAGATTCACAAAGAAGAGCACAAAGGCAAACCAATAGCAGTTGGCAAAGACGAACCAGAACCAGCTATCCTCAGTGGCAAAAAGACAGCCACGACGATAGAGATTCGTGGGAGTCTCCACTTGATTTCGGTAGCAGGAGGCTGGCACGACGTCCTTCTGGCTTACATTGCCATAGTTGGCGGGGCCATCGATGCCGCAGCAGTGGTACACGATCTCATAGTTCCACAGATTGTCGGTGTAAAAGCTGCGCACTACCACATAGACATCCGTATACCTGATGACGCTGTAGCTGCCGGCAAAGAGCAGAAAGACGCCCAACGAAAAGCAGACTATAATAGACTAATGGATCGGGAATTTAGTGGAATAGCAATCTCGCTCTCTGTATCTCTGTCTCTCTCTCTCTCTGTCCCTTCCACTTACCGCCAGCAGTAGATTGCCCATGCGACAGCAAATCCAGCACAAATCGAGGAGCAGCAGAAATACGCAAATGCCCTCCACCCACGACATGAGCACATAAAGTGTGCTGAACTCATAAACTTTACCAATTTTGACAGTCACATAAACAAATTGGAATAACGTGCCACTATACAAATACTAGACTGAGGATATTTCGATGCAGACTGAGATATTTTTGCACATCACATTTACCGTCAAAACCCCATTGAGCATGAGACAGGCTCCAGTCAATTGCTGACTCGTGCATTCCCAGGCGGTCTTAACGCACATCTCTACGCTGCGTTCTCGTTATGCTCTATGTTGACATAAGGCCTTGAGGGAGTGATCTAGAAAATGTTATTAGGCTAAAGAATTTTTGATTTCAGTTTCTGAATTTTTGAAAGTGTTCCCTATGTTAACTCAAATGTTAAGTAGAAGTAGAAGTAGAAGTAGAAGAAGTAGAAGTAGTTACAGAGAAAGCTAAAGCTTACATTCTAATTACTTATAAAACGTAAATGTGCAAACATTAATAATATTTTCAGCAGATCGTTCATATTTCAAGTCTCGTAATGAAAGTGAATAAGAAAAGCAACTCTGAATGAATCACAATCACAGATCTTCAGCTATCCATGCGACCCTAGCTCAAGCCAGATATCAAATACAATAGATAAGCAAACTCTCTATGAATGCCCCAAACAAATAATCATTTCCCCACAGTAAATCAAATTTTTTCAAATGAAACCCGCGAAATCAGCGAGCGAAAGAAATCATAATTAATCAAATTGAACTCGAACATACTTTCGCTAGAATTCTTAACAAAGCTCCACGATCAGCGCCGCTTTAATTGAATTAAATGTTAAGCACAAATTTATGCACAGAAAATATATCAAATTAGCGGTAAATTTGCGCGATATCTGAAATCGAGTTATTAGCGCAGACCGACTTCGACTGCGACTTCGACTTCAAAGCGAATTGCAGCGCAGCTCTGGCTGCGGGGCGTTTAATTGAATATTGTTTAGCAGTGGGCGTGGCGCTTTTTATAGCATACAAAAGAAAAAGAAAAAAAAAACGGAAAAACAAATAGAAATAACGCCCAGCAATTGAGATAAGCGCAGCAAGTGGAGCATTGGCTGGTCTGCTTGGCGTATGCGTAATGCAATATATTACGTATACGTCGCGCTGGCATTTACTTACCGCGTGTCTGACGCTTCTCGCCAGCATCGGTGGCCTCCTCGTCGCTGTCAATGTGCGGAAATGAGCTGCCCAAACAAAATAGCGGCAAGGCAGGCGATGTCGATGCAACAAGCTCTGCATTGTTGTTGTTGTTGTTGTTGTTGTTGTTGCTGCTGTGGTTGCAGTTGCTGTTGTTGTTGTTGTTGCTGTTGCTGTTTAGATGGCTGTGCAGCTCCTCGCTGGCGCTCGAGCTGCTGCTGCTACGCTCGCTGGCATTGCTGTTGCCCGACGAGGTGGAGTTCATGCTATCCTGTCGATTGGTCAGGCGCCGGAGCATGTAACGATTGTTGAACAGTTTGTTTTTGGTAATTAAATCGCTGCGCCTCAGTGCGCACTTTGGCGATCCAATGTTGTTGTTGCTGCTGCTGTTGCTGTTGCTGTTGTTGTTGTTGGCCTCATCGAGCTGATCCTCGTGCAGTGCCAGCGGCATCTGCAGCTCGTTTAGCGACACGCGCTCAATGCTGCGCTCCACGCTCACGAGCAAATTCTGCAACAGCTGCGGCAACTCGATGGCTTCGTTAGCCTCACCCTGGAACTGCGCCCTCTCCTGTGCCGCACTCTGTGCGTGTCCTGCTGCAGCAGTTGCTGCTGTTGTTGTTGCTGTTGCTGTTGCTGCTCCCATGGCTGCCATTGACATCTCTAGTTGCAGCACGCTCAGTGGCTGCTGTTGCGTTTTAGTGTAATCGATATGAATGCAGTTGCTCTGCCCTCCACTCGGTGTGCTCCCCTCTTGCTGCTGCTGCTGCTGCTGCTCGGACGAGCGCCAAACGACATAAAGCTGCGGTGTGGCCTCTGCGTCAGAATCTGAAAGGAAAAAGGAAGTGAAAATATGACTAATGAAGGCAGATAAAACACTGGAGAGCGAATATATAGAGTCGTAAATTCACAGAGATTAATTGCATTGCTTCGCCTGTAATCAGTTCGAATAAGTGCAAAGAAATCTGGGAAACTATTTTAAGAGTATGCTGAAGGTGAGAGTTGAGATTGTTTTAAAATCAAGTTTAGCTGCATGGATATATCTGGTATATAGATATGGTAAAATATGGTAATAAATTTCGTTTTTCTCTTCTGTCTCATCTCTTATCATCTGATTATTTGTCTAACCTCTTCAGTTTTTTCTTTTTCTCTCTTCTCTCCTTTCTCATTTCACTCTTATTTCATCTCTCTGCATCATTCGCTGTTCTTTATTATATATTCTTTATTCTCTTTTCATTCTCCGTTTATCATTTATTTTCTTATATTTTCTCTCTGCACACGCCTGTCTTTCTCTCTCTCTCTGTCTCTTTTTCTCCCTTCTCTCTCTTTACCTCTCTCTGTATCTACATTCTCCATATAGAATCATACATAATCATACATTGTTATAGCTCCTTAGATAGATATCCATGACTAGTTCGTTCCACTTACCCAATTTGACACACAGATAGAGCTCGGCGGGTTGGAGTGCGTGCGCGAACTCAGAGTCGCTCAGCTGGAGTACGAGGGCTCCATTGGATGTGGCCAGCGGCCAGCCGGCATGCCATAACCAGGACTGCAACGATAGCCAATGAAAGAGATTGAAGATTGAGTAACGAAATCATTTGCAAATTTTTATTATTACGACGATTACATGTTGTGGCACAGCGTGCCAAAGCACAGGCTGCGACTACACTGAAATTATGTAGGCAACAACACCCGCAAGTGTTAAGCTGCAAAAAGGAAACCGAAACAGAAACCGAAACCGAAACCAAACCGAACGAAAACTCCAAATCGCTTAGACTGAAAAGCGCATTAAAAATGGCCCAGGCTGTCAGATATGCATAGTAGAGGTATTCCCCTCTCTTACTCCATCAGTCCTCCCTCTCTCTCTCTCTCTCTCTCTCTCTCTCTCTCTCTCCCGCCCTCTATGTGTATTTGACTGTGGGCCTATCAGATGGCGAATATGCCAGTGCCGGGCCTGGGCCGCGTGGCGAGTCGCGATGCAAAATTATAGATAAATCATGCAAGTCAAACTTTAGCAATTTTTAGCTAATTTTTGGCCATTACCCACAGGCTCAAGAAAAAAAAAAAAAAAAAAAAACGCGACGTAAACAAAACAGAGAGAAAAAAAAAAAAAAATAAAACAACAAGATTTCACCCCTACGGGAATGTGAAATCGAACTTGCAACTCAGAAAAGCGACTTGCAACAGACTCTTTGTGGGGACCTTTGGACCTTGTGGCTGCACTGGACTGCGTTGCCAGAGTGCGCTATTAATTGTTGCAAGGCGAAAATGTTTTGCGCATTGTTGTTAATTTGCGGAAAATGCGCAACAACAACAACTGCAACAACAACAGCTGAAAAACCTTCACTCAACAACGAATTGGAGGTGCGCTCACATTTGGCTTGATTTATAGCACCTTTTGACTCAACACAAAAGCTCTGCTATTTGATAGTTGTTGCTGTTATTGTTGCTGTTGCACATGCCACACAACAGAGACCCCACACAGCATACAGAGCGAGAGCGAGAACGAGATAGAGAGACAACAGCCAACATAAATCAATTGTTGGCAGCACAGAGCTGCGCTGCAAGTGGGCCAGGGTGCAGGCGGTACAAGGGGAGGGCGGGGCAGTGCCGTAGCGACTGCTCCAAAATCCATTCAAACAGAAAATGATCAATTTTGTCATTTGATCAAAGCCGCAGCGAAACGATCGCAACGCATCGTTTACAATCGATTGAACAAAATGATCATCGCCACACACACAACAGCAACAACAACAAGAGTAACAACAACAACAACAACAACAACTTCCCTTTAGTCAGATTCATGTTGTATAAGCCGCTGTCGCCACATGCTAAAAATGATGCCAGCGCTCATGCAACATTTTCAGCTTGATTGAACGCCAATTCCAGAACAGCCTCGCATTGTTGTTGTTGCAGTTGTTGTTGTTGCTGTTGCTCTTCAATATTAGGTTCTAAATCATTGGCATCGTCGTCGCTTCGGTTTCGTCGTCATTGACCCAAATGCGCGCGTCGCTCGGACGCCGCTTGTCATTGTCATCCAAAGCCGAAGTCGAAGCCGGAGCCGGAGCCGTAGCCGCTCTCTGCCTGCCTACCCTTGCCGTGCCACGCCCCTGCGCCGCAAAATGCCTCAATTTCAGCTCTTATTTTTAGCGACTTTTTTTTTGTCGCTACTTTTTTTTTTTTTTGTTAGAATTCTTTTGCCCATTTTGGCTTTCAAAGTCAGCTGCGGCTCGTTTTCAATTTGCTGCGGCGACAAATTTCCGTTCCATTGGCGGCATTTGCTTTAGGCTTGCGGCTTGAGGCTCGAGGCCTTTGGCATTTCGTTTCGTTTCGTTCTTTTTATGGTTTTTATTTTGTTATAATTTTTTGTTGCCCTCCATAAATCTGGGAGGATTTGTCTGAAAGGATTCGGCATTGGCAAAAGCAAACGCATTTATCATTGCGATAGGCTGAGCCGTTTCGTTTAGTTTCGTTTCGTTTCGTTTTATTTTTTGCTCTTTTCATTTTCATTTTAATTTTTTCTGTGGCTCATTCCCACGCCTTTGATGTTGAAAACTAAATTACAATTCCTGTTGTCCACGCAAAAAGTTCGCATAAATATTTATACGCGTCAAATGGAGCAGGAGTGAAAGTGAACGACTAGCAGATACCCTGTAAGATATAATTTGATCATGAGTGTTGGTCTTCGTTAGATTGGCATCTATATTTGAAGATTGTTTATTGACATTTCTCTATGCTGATAGATTACAGGGTATTTTTAATAATTTTCTATTGATCATTAAAATATATTTATAATTGTATTATTGTCCTATTTCTTTTATTTATGAGGCGAGCGTGCCTCATTGCTATTAAATTACAGGGTATATACATACAGGACATATACTATATTTAGTTATTTTTAACAGCTAAACTTCTTCTGTATGGGTAACATACCCTTGCTCAGCAGTTCACAGGGTATTGCGTATCTTTCAGCGCACTTTATGAGTAATCAAGCCGACAAGCAGTTGGCATTAGCATATATGCAGATCAAGATACAGATATACATATATTTTTATGCATACACAAAAATACATCCGAATCCGAATTCGACTACGAATCCATGTCCCAGTCTCACTCATTCTGTCTCTCTCTCTCTCTCTTTCTTTCTCTCTGCCTGTATTGCCTGTTCCGCTATCGTGTGGCGCCCAGCCTATGGCAATTATTCAGTGCGGGTGCCGTCGCACCCGGAGCGGCGCAGACTGGGCCGATGACGGGGCCATTGGGACCACCGTCAGCGCAGCACAAATTACGCATGCAAAAGGCGCGTTGCACGGACAGGAGCGATGGGAAGGCTACAGGGGGAACGAGAGGAGAACAGGGGAACAGCGGGACAGACACACTCCCTCAGTCGCACACTCTGCATTTGGCTTGTTTTCTTAATAAATTATAGAAATATAAAATGAAAACAGAGACACAACTTGTTGGCCGTTAGCCGTTGCCCGCTGCCCGCTGGCCGGAGACAATTGTTGTGGGGTGCGCCGACGCCCAGTTTCATTTTCGATATTATTTTTGTAATTTTGCTATTTTCGTAATTTTTTGGAAATTTGTTTCTCTATTTTGGTGTTTGCTATTTTGTTGCTCCTTCTGTTTGCGGCGCTCCAAGAGTAATTAACATGTTGGCGAAAAGGGCCACACCTGGCCGAAAAGTGCCGCTGGCACAAACAATTTTAATTACACATACGCCGCGTTTGCCGCCAAAGCAAAGCAGCATGAGAAATCCGTTTCGACAGAAGGCCATCAATTTGGCGAATCAATTTGATATTTGCCTGTCCCTGGCGGCGGACTTCTCGAGTGGCCGTTGGTGTGACTAATGCCATGGGAAATTCATTGAAACTCATTTGTTAAGGGTATTGATTAATATTTTTTTCTTTCTTTTTTTTTTTTTTGGCTTGGCAGCTCGCAAATTATTACGTAGAAAAATATTATGAAATGTGGGCGTGGTGTGATGGAAATTAGAGAATTTGCTTTGAAGTGAAGAAAGTTATTGCATAATTCATGAAGCATATGAAATTGTAAAGAGTTTGCCGAACTAACATGTGATTAGCTTGAACAATTAAATTCTGTTAAAGATGTAAAGTAACCGAAGCCAATTGGATATTAAATTTGAAGAGAAATTAATCTTAACATAACGTGTAAGCTACTCTAACACGAACTGTTAAGCTAAGTTTTAAGTCTTGTCAATTCAATCAAAGAAAATGTTAAGAGACACTCGATCCGTGCGATTAATGTTAGCCCAAGCAAGTTAACATATTCCCTGTAAGCTTAACAGCATTGTGCTAAAGGAAACTTATATTAACATAATGCATTTCTAGTATGACACAATTGAGGCTTTTTACATTGCTTGAAGGGGAACTTCAGCTGTTAAGTTAACATTTTCCCAGCAAGAACTAAAATGTTGCTAATAAGATTAACAGCATTGAGCAGAGAGAGGACAATGTATGTTAAAGCAAAGGCAAGCAACGCCTAGGCTGCTGTTAGCTGTGATATTAACACTCACTTCTAAACAAACATTTGACTCAAAGTTAACTAAATATAATGACCCCAAAATGCATAGAATCTAATTAAGCAAAGAGTAATTTTTATGAACAAACAAGAAAGCAGCGATTTCTCAATGTCTTGTTAATGAGGTCTCTTTAGTTGACATTTTCACTTGCAAGCACAAGAAGTGAACATTATTCAATTGCAGTCAATTACTTTAAGTTAGTAATATTAGTTGACTTGGCATTTAAGAATGCAATGAATGTGAACTGAGTAACCATGAATATTAAAATCAATTTCAGTCAATTAGTCAAAGCTTAGCAAAGCGCAGGAATTTTAATGAGCTACATTAGGTTAACATAAAGTTATTTTATGCAAATTTAAATATTGTCAATTAAAGATATAACAAAAAAGAAAACGCTTAACGCTTTTGCTTTTTATAAACGATTTCGAATCACGAAATATCAGAACTTGGATGATATTTATCTATCTCACCATAAACATTTGGCATTCCATTGAACACCATCTGCAATGCGCTTAGCTCTGCGTTTCTTTTGAACTTTTTGCACAAACAAAAGCGAGTGAATTTATTGCAGTCAACGTCACATTTCCGCTTCATCTACCAGAACGGCCATCAAGAGAATGCCAGCACCACCGCCACCACCACCGACAGCACCACTGGCAATGGCCAAAGCCAGGGCGCAGCCACACCTACAAATTGTTTGTTTTGCAAAAGCAGGAGCAGCACACACACACACATAGATACACTCTGTGTGTGTGTGTAATGTGGCATATTTATGTATATTTTGCATGTTGCTGGAGCTGCCTGAGGATGGGGGCAGCAGAAGGCGCAGCGTGACCAAAATAGATCAGGTCTAGGCTGTCATGCTCGCTGCATGGCCGGAATGCAAAGGCAGACGAACTTCTGCAACCCCCACTTGCCGTCTCTGTCTCTGTCTCTGCCTCTGGCCCCCCATCTTCAACTGAGCTGATGGCATGCCAAATTCAGCTGTTGTTGCAATTTCTTCAAAG